TTGTACAATTTCAGGTAACATTAAGTTAACATTGATGGGTCTAATAGCAGAAGGAAGTCTAGCTGCAGTCAATTTACAAGACTAATTACTAAACAAAACTAGAATGCTGTCATCAATGAAGCCAGCTAGTCTGCAAGCTGCATTATTGCATATTTGCAATAAAACTGCATATTTGTTTTATAGTCTAGACAGTTTTGTGGTCATGACGTGATCTTGTGGTTTTGTCAAAATTTGCAACTTTTAGCCCAAAGATGTTATTAGTGGCACTTGCTAAGCTAATATTTCTGTTTACTACTCTTAATCAAAGATTTGAACAAACCCCTAACCCGAAGTATTAAACTTTGGCGTGTAACTCATCCCACATTATACCTCAAAACATTTTGCGGTAGAACTGCCACATATTAATCAAACAACATATTGATGAGAAAAACAGAAAACCGCTTAGTACTCTTTTGTGTGTATGTGTGAAAATGAAGCCATGTTTGTGTAATTGACTGCCCTGAAGGCAAAATATAATCAATAATACAATTACAAGTAAAAAGTACAGGTGTTAAAAAAGTAATTAAGTACAAAATACTCAGAGTACCAGCTACTTTCAAGCCATTGCTATTTAATGAACTGTCAAAAAACACTAAATCAAATCGAAGATTTGATGAAAATAGATTTTAGCAATAAAAAACAAAACTTTGCTTTCCATTTATAACTTAAAAACACTTAGAGCAAATGAAAAATATCTACATTTATACATCTATCGAAATATATCCAGCCTTTGATTGGTTGGCTTGATTTTGTTTCTCAATATTGTTTCTTAATCACCACATAAAACACATCAAAACTTCACAAAGCACAACAAGTGGATTGGATTGGAACATTTGCTTAAAGAGAAAACACACCGGGACATTTGACTGCACATCACATTTTGACATTATCAATACTGCTTGCAATCATAATGCAATATGGAAAATAAATTAATACCTTAAATAAAAGGGTTATCGACTGTTGTTTATATTGTCATACAGGCCTGGATCTACAGTGCTACTAGCTCAAACAAAAGCAAGAGCACGCTCAGTTGAAACTATAATAATTGCATATTGTTGAAACAGAACTGGAAAATGATCCAGTGTTTGCGCTCTGGAGAGCTTCAAAGGTTTTGTTTTTCAATTTGGGTTTCTATAGCGTTGAGCAGTGTAGCCAATCATAAACATGTCTGTTGATTTTTTGAAGGCAATGGCCAATCAGAGGCGTTTAAGTTAGAATCCACTCACCACGAGATGAGACACTAAGCCTGGTTCAGACTGTCAGCCCAAATCTGATTTTTGTGCAAATCCGATTGAAATCCAATCATATTTAGATAGTCTGAATGGCAACAAACTACATAAAATCCGATTTTTGCAAATCCGTTTCGAGCCACATTCACATGGGGTTTGAAATCGTATTCAAATCACATTCCTGGAAATCCGTTTCAGTCTGACTGGTCAGATCGGATTTAGGGTAGCTTTTTCACGTTCCGCACAAATCGGAATTGAGCAGTTGCGATACACAGTGTGGACAGTTGATCATTTTGTTCAGATTCCAATCGGATATAAACAAAAATCGGATTTGGACTGACAGTCTGAACCAGGGATGTCGCTATGGTTTCTGGGCCCCCTGAACGGTGTCCCCCTTGGTAAAAATCACATTCCGGGCCCCTCTCCCTCGTCCCAACATTCTCCCCCTACGGCGACCTTGGTCTGAACAAGGCTTTAGGATCTGTTCAACAACAAATCCTCCACTATGGTTTTGTCAGTCATCTCTCCTTACTCTCGTCACGTTCATTCACTCATTCAGCCTCAGACCTCACGCCCAGGGACCGTTGGCTGAACATCTGATGCATATGGCACACAAAATTGGAAGTTTCAATGTTGTCATCGGATTGGTTGAATTATACAGGATTACCGGGAGACGTATGTGTCGCGTTCTTTAACATTCCGTCTGGAAAGAAAGATGTTGTGACACCAAACCCCCTCATGGAAGAAGAAAGCCGTCATGTTAGCGCTTGACAGAATCAATAAAATGTGATTGGTTGGTTTACCTGTCAGTCATACGGCTTCTTGGGCAGTCCATGGCCATTCAAAACGGCCAAGGTTCCCAGACCTTCTGCAATCAGTCTGAAGGTCTGGCTACGCGAGACTTGCTTGTGCTGGATGAGCAGAGCAGATGCTTTCAGTTTAGAATTGAAGTGGCTGTTATCCAACTGAATTAAATTTTTATTTCTATAAAAAAGCAAAACGACAGTGGAAGCGGTGTCACGGTGGGCATCATAATGTAAAGTAAATGTAGCGGTGGCATCTTCTATGCTAATTTCACCCACAGACCAGTGAGACAGCTTTTCACCTTGACGAGTAATATCATTACATTTTAATATCGTGAGATCAAGTCACAATCCTAGAAGGTGTACTCCGTAACGAATTGTGATTTTAAAAATAAAGAAGTAGATTACTTTGATTCATTTGTACTTAAGTACAAGTAAAATTACAGACTTAAAAATATACTCATGAAAGTATAAGTAACCGAAAAAACTACTTAATTACAGTAACGTGAGTAGTTGTAATGTTAGGCTAATTCACACCACACAGACAAAAGCCAACAGACACTGACAAACTTGTCCAGAAACCTGCCAATTTTAGGATAATTTGCTAAGCACGCCCAGCACTTACTCAGTCTTGCCTCATCATCATGGAAACGGTATGTGGCCAGGTCAGATTATGTCAGAGTTTGTTGGAAAATCATATCACACTGCTCAGACATTCCACGACCCAACAAACGCCGATTGAACATGTTCAGTTGGGTGACAACAAACTCCGACCAGCGGCAACAGACACCCGACGGGGTAACACACTGATCCAACAAACTTGTCTGTTGGTGTTTGTTGCCATTTATCGGTGCGGTGTGAATCGGCCTTTACCTCCACCACTGAATATAATTAAATTTGATATAATTGAAATATAATTTGAATATTAAGTTTGTTAATATAGATATTTTATTAAAGAATGAAGCCGTTTGTTTAATTGACAAATACTTGAAGGTCAAATATAATTAAATTTGGTAATAATAGGCTTTTATAAATGAATATTTAAAAAAATGAAGCAATGTTTGCTTAACTGACAAATACTTGAAGGCTAAATATACATTTGATAATATAAATATTAATGTAAATATGGAAAAAATGATGCAATGTTTGTTCAATTAGTGTTTATTAATTCAAAAATGAAGTTGTTTCAATGTATTTAACTTTTTAAATGAAAAAAAAAAGTGTGTTCAAGTCTAGTTTTTGCTGTGGCATCAAACAGAATTTTGAGAATTGTAAAATCGTACTGGTATTGGTATATCAATTACTCAAATTTTGATATTGTGACAACCCTACAATGTTATTTTATAGTTTAAGTTATCAGTAACTTAAGCTTCTCGTTTCTTGAATCTTCCTGACTGAAGTTCTTGCGTCTTTGGCAATCAGCTTTCACTACTAGCTGTCAGTAATTGTGATCTCCACCTGCCAACTGGCAGGAGCATCTTTTCTATCATCAGTCCTCGCCTGCTGACTCCGGTAAAAAGCACAGTATGACAAGCATCATTTTAAAAGTTTAGACCCCTCACACTGATGTGAACCCAGGTCGCTCCACACAACAGGAAGCCTTAGTACAGCAGGACATTGATTAAAGAGCCATCAATCATCTTTTCTTGCAGATTGCAATTTCTTTCCCTTTTGTCAGGGACCTCTGTGTAGGATCTTTTACCCTCGACTGATTTCAGGATAGACGAGCATCAGTCATGTGAGGTCAGGTCCTGATGACACCATCTAAAAGAGTAAGGGCAAGAGGATGAATCATTTAAGCAGAAATTACAGTGAAAGCTCAGCCTTCATATCTTTGACCTCTTTCATTGCTCTGCTCATTCTAGAAAGCAAAACATTAGTTTAGGTGTTTTTGCATTTGTAGAGATAAACTCCTACTAAAAACCTTCTGAAGCAGCATCCTAACTGAAATGTAACTTAATCTTCACAGAAAGAAATATCACAAAACACAAATAACACGCCTGTGCAGCATATGGCCTTTTAGCAATACTCTGCATAAAAAAATATTAGATATATATTATTTTCTGAGTGATTTGAAACTTCAGGTTGTTGTGTTGTAACCGTTGTAATGATTATTTCTTTACCCATTTTTAAAAAAAAATTTCTTAACATTTTTTAAATGAATTTATGTAATGTCTTTTATACTCTCTGGATCTACTTGCAGTCTTTCTTTGCCAGCTCTTGTATGTAAAACCAGATTTAAACATCAATGGGACAAAATGTAAATAAAATAAAATAAATATATATATATATATATATATATATATATATATATAGAATTATAATAAATTAAATAAATATTCACAGAGCATGTGAAAAAAAGCACATTTAAACATTTAAAAAAATATTTAGAACATAAACTACCATTCAAAAGTTGTGTCAGTAGGCTATCATTATTATCATTTTTAAAAATAAATTAATACTTTTATTCAGTAAGGATACGTTATATTGATCAAAAGTGACCGTAAAGAAATTTATAATGTTACAAAAGATTTATATTTCAATGCTCCTCATTGTTAATTATTTCTACAAAAATTAAGCAGTGTAACGGTTTTCAATATTAATAATTACAAAAAATGTTTCTTGAGCACCAAATCAGCATATTAGCATGATTTTGTCAGTGATTGGCTGCTGAAAATTCAGCTTTGCCATCACAGGAATATATTACATCTTAAAATACATAAAAAAACAGCTATTTTTAATTGTAATAATATAATATGAATAATATAATATCCCAATATTACTGTTTTATTGTATTTTTGATCAAATAAATGTAGCCTTGTATTAATCTCATGATAATTTTTTTTTTTTTTTTAAATGATAATAGTTTTTGTTTCTTTTCAATATTTGATTTTGGCATAAATCATGACTCAAGTCTTTTTATGCATTTCTTATATATTTTTATACAGCAAGATTTTACAATAAAATACCACAAAATAGACTCCATGCACCACACTTCAAACTATATTAGTGTATTACAATGTGTTAATACAGATACGTAAAACATGACAATGTCAAAAATACTTACCTCTCACCTAAAGTTTTTAACAAAAGCAGAACAACGTCCATGGCTCACACACAGTCACTTCACATGCAGTGGGCCTGACACTCTTCTTCTATCCAGGAAATTTGAGGTCTAAAGGGTCCTGGGTGTTTACTGCATTGAATGTGTGCACATATTTAAAGTGACCTTTAACAGGACCAAGATATTTTTCTCTCTCTCGCCCTTTACTTTTTATTAAAGTTGTGAATTGGACCTTGCCGGGTGTCTCCATGGCTGAAATTTGACGGCATCCATTATGGGGAAGGAGGTGTCCTCAGGGAATTATAGGAGCCTTGGCTACCGCCGGTCGTGCTTTGACCAACCCACTGCCAGAGAGAAAAATCAGGGTTAGCTGAGGAGAACTCAAATCAGATCAGATGTTGAAAATCATATTTAAAGCACAGACGTAATACACATCGTGGGAGGAAATGAAATTGAATTCCGTGACACTGAAGGGCTGAAGTGCTGCAATGTCATTATGAGTGTATTGTCACAATGGCCCTCTTAGCACCTGAATGGCTCGTTTTTGCCTTCAGATCAATTGTGACTGTGCCACGGCTGCAAAAATCTTCATGAAACCCTTTCATCGACTTCAATTTTGTCTTGGTCTTTGTTTTGCCTGACGTAATGCTGACCTCTGTCTTCTGAGATGTGATTTTCGTATTTGTTTATGCAATTTGTGCCGAGGCTATAGAGGTTTTGGCTTCCCTTTTTGTTTAATATTATGGCGGCTCCGGGAGCATAACATGGTTGAGAAGGACAGGAATTGTGAATTATTGAAGATGTGTATTCTGTGCCCCTGAGAGGTCAAAGATTTGCAAACAAGATTTCAGAGCAGTAATGTGTGAAAAGCCTTTAAAAAAGGGAAAGATGATGATGAAAATGAGTGTTAACCAAGCGGCAACCTCCCGCTCTCTCTCGTGAAGCCAACACAGAAGTGACTTAAACTGTAATTCGTCAACTGGCCGCTAGAGGCTGGCTGCAAAAGGGAGTCAATGGCAATGTTAAAATGCCCAACTTTACAGCAGAAAAAAACATGTTTACAGCCTGGTTCAAAAATGATTTTGGTCTATATAGCTAATTTTGCCCTTCATGACAATGGGGTGAATTTTTTTATAACTCATCCATTTAAATTATATTAAGACTTAAAGTACTGCATAATTAAGGGTGTGGCCACTTGAGTTTTACAATACCGTCAAGCTAGGTGGGCATGGCTTCAGCAACCAGCTCACGCCTTTTTGCCCATTTTCAATTATCCGGGAGAAACACGCTGCCAAGATGGCGACGGCCCACTCCGCCCACTTTGAGCTTCAAAAACGCTCTTCAGAAAATTACGGGTGACGTCACGGACACTACGTCCATGTTTTTATACAGTCTATGGTGTTAACCTAAAAGAGACTTTATGGGATTCTTCAAAGGGGTCAGAAGTAAACAAAAATAAGACATTACACTAGACTTTTCTTACTAAATATTATCACCTGAAATAATAACTTTTCACTGGCTTTTATAGTTTGTTTCTGCAGCAAACTTTAATAGGTTTGGTTGACTCCAATAACATTTCCACTGCTGTTTCGCATGATGTAGTAAAGGCAGTATATGATAAGACATTGAATCTTATGTAAACATACCGAAAGTTTCAGAAGTAATCACTTTCTTCCCAATCCTAAAACTAAAACATTTGTACTTAAGCTATTCCAAAATCTCAGATGTCAGAAAGCCAAATACAGTAGAGCACCGCATTAGGAACGTCAAAGTCATGGGGTCAATTCCAATAGAATGCATGACCACATTTAATGTATTATGCTTTCAATGAAATGTTGCTTTGGATAAAAGAGTCTGTCAATTGCATAACTACCTTGACCAAAATGATCTTACTAAATGATCTTACGAAAAATAATTACTTCTGATCAAATAAATCAGTAAAACGGAGTTATCATAATATCAACAACACAATGAGAAAACAATATGAAATCCAAACACCAGTGGACTGAGGAAAGACAGCTGTCCATCACTGCATTCACGACTGCAGGTAAGCACAACTGTAGCCTGAGTGAGCCGAGAAGAGAGCTCATCTGATAGCGAAATGATCTTGAGACATATTCCTTTAAGTTTCCTCGAGGGAGAGTGGTTTAAGAAGAGAAAACACAAAGCCCTGTGTGAATTTTCCACAACTATGAAAGGAATGTAAAATTAAAAATAGTGTATAATGCAAACAAGCAATAAACTAAAAATAAAAAATAAAAATAATATCAAAGTAATATCAAAGTATATCAAGTCTGTAACTTTGAAAACAATGTACATTAAAAATAGTGTAGTAATAAACTAAATATAGTATAACATGATAATTAAAAATACATGTAAGCATATAAATAAATTGATAAGAGCAAACATTTTAAATACAAATAATATTAACAAATTTAAAAAAAAAATTATAGCAAATAAATACAAAAATTAAATATAAAATTCAAATAAAATGGGGTTTAAAGCAAATCTAATATCAAAGTATGTCAAGTATGTGAGTATTTTGCACAAGTTTGAAAAGAATGTACATTAAAAATACACTAATACAAATAAGTAATAAACAAAATAATAATATAATAAATACATAAATAATAAAATATACAAAATAATAAATCTATATAAAATATTATTATTAAAAATAAATATAACTATATAAATACATTTATAAGAATAAATACATAAGAGTAAATAAAACAATATAAAAATAAATAATTGAATACCATTATACTGTCAATGTCATTATGTTTGAATATGTCATTTTTCCCATTGCTATGCATGAGGACATTTCATCATACTGTGGGCTTCTTCAGCTCTTTCTCAAAAGATAGCATTGTGCCTTTTGCTTACAAAACAGATATGTATATTAACATTTAAATATACCTTTTTATTATTTATAATATCTGTAAGAATACTCAGAATGAACAGCCCTGGATCCAAGAGTATTTAAAGATTTACTTGATTGATTCAGAAGACCTCAAAACATCAGCAAATGTAATTAACAGGCTATTAGTGAATCTAGGTCTCCAAACACATCTCCGAAAACAAATCATTCTGTTGAAATTGACAGTGATAATCGTAAGCTCAACAGTACCTCTACAAGCAGATGCCAGCGGGCGATGGGCTTGCGTGGATATGTGAGCATCTCATTCCAGTGATCGCGTCCCAAACTCTGAGCTCTGTTTCCCACATGGCACACGCCAATAACCTCATTGTGACCTATGCTGTGAATGAGAAGAGCATATCCAAGCTTAAAAGTGACAGCTGAACCATGACACCTCCAAAACAATGTCTCTAGTCTCTTCCAACTTTAAAGTGTCGTCTACCCACTTTTAGCAATGAAAATATGATGATTTTTGCAAGATATTTTCATATACCTTTCAATACACATCACAAGGACACTAGGTCTCTCTCTGTCTCCATCCATTCTCTGTTCATTTGTTTTAGCAGCAGCGATGAGATACTTAAATGCTGCGGTTCGTACTTCTCAAACAGGACAGTGATCTAAATCTGATATGAATCTCTCGCTGCATTGGGAATATAAAAAATAAAAATAATATCAAAGTAATATCAAAGTATATCAAGTCTGTAACTTTGAAAACAATGTACATTAAAAATAGTGTAGTAATAAACTAAATATAGTATAACATGATAATTAAAAATACATGTAAGCATATAAATAAATTGATAAGAGCAAACATTTTAAATACAAATAATATTAACAAATTTAAAATAAAAAATTATAGCAAATAAATACAAAAATTAAATATAAAATTCAAATAAAATGGGGTTTAAAGCAAATCTAATATCAAAGTATGTCAAGTATGTGAGTATTTTGCACAAGTTTGAAAAGAATGTACATTAAAAATACACTAATACAAATAAGTAATAAACAAAATAATAATATAATAAATACATAAATAATAAAATATACAAAATAATAAATCTATATAAAATATTATTATTAAAAATAAATATAACTATATAAATACATTTATAAGAATAAATACATAAGAGTAAATAAAACAATATAAAAATAAATAATTGAATACCATTATACTGTCAATGTCATTATGTTTGAATATGTCATTTTCCCCATTGCTATGCATGAGGACATTTCATCATACTGTGGGCTTCTTCAGCTCTTTCTCAAAAGATGGCATTGTGCCTTTTGCTTACAAAACAGATATGTATATTAACATTTAAATATACCTTTTTATTATTTATAATATCTGTAAGAATACTCAGAATGAACAGCCCTGGATCCAAGAGTATTTAAAGATTTACTTGATTGATTCAGAAGACCTCAAAACATCAGCAAATGTAATTAACAGGCTATTAGTGAATCTAGGTCTCCAAACACATCTCCGAAAACAAATCATTCTGTTGAAATTGACAGTGATAATCGTAAGCTCAACAGTACCTCTACAAGCAGATGCCAGCGGGCGATGGGCTTGCGTGGATATGTGAGCATCTCATTCCAGTGATCGCGTCCCAAACTCTGAGCTCTGTTTCCCACATGGCACACGCCAATAACCTCATTGTGACCTATGCTGTGAATGAGAAGAGCATATCCAAGCTTAAAAGTGACAGCTGAACCATGACACCTCCAAAACAATGTCTCTAGTCTCTTCCAACTTTAAAGTGTCGTCTACCCACTTTTAGCAATGAAAATATGATGATTTTTGCAAGATATTTTCATATACCTTTCAATACACATCACAAGGACACTAGGTCTCTCTCTGTCTCCATCCATTCTCTGTTCATTTGTTTTAGCAGCAGCGATGAGATACTTAAATGCTGCGGTTCGTACTTCTCAAACAGGACAGTGATCTAAATCTGATATGAATCTCTCGCTGCATTGGGAATATACAGCTCAGGCTGTTCCTCAGATCACCCACCAGCACTAAGAATAAACTTCTATAGTCTCTGAGCACTGTGCTTGGCAAAAATTAAAAGCATATATAATTTAAACGAGACTCTTTTTCAGTTCAGATTTGACAGTGAACACTCACAAGCTCCCTCCACGCTGCTAGCTGTACGTTTGGATTAGCTCTGCTAAAACTGAAGGGCTAACAATATTGTTGGGGAAGCGACTTTGAAAAGACAGGCTTATCTAACAAGACCAAGCTGGTTTATGCTGGTTTGGATGCTTGCTGCTTACATATGTTGGTCTTTTCAACAAGCCCAACTATATTCATGCAACAGTTTAAAAAATATATAGTAGTACAAGATAAAAGGCAGCTTGCTATATTAAAGCTATTCAAGGTGTTTTTTAAAAGGTGTAAAACACTGTGCATGAACAATGAATCAGTCATTTTCTGAACCTCTTCATGTAATTGAATTGTTTGAACAAATCAGTTTTCTAAAATAATTCAGACTTTCCAAACACGACATATTCGAATGCGTTTGATCATTTCTTCAGTTTGCTCAGATGTAAATGTGACAATGACATAATACTATGATGTGAGTAATGTCGCTAGTTTTAAGTTAGAAGCTAAAAAGACACATTAGTATCTTACCGGTCATAGTCCATTACTGCTATTAAAAGACTTATTTGGTCGATGTTCTCAGGTGGAACATCAAAAACAATGGCTTCATTGTAGACAGGATTGAGAGTGTTCCTTTTCGTTGACGTTTTCCTTTTCTTCAGTCTTCGGCCGTCACACATCAGAGAAACCTTTACATAAGGATCTTATAGACAGAAAAATCACATAAATAGCCATTTAGAATTGAATTAAAAATGGATTTTACATTTTTTTCAGCTGAATATGAAATGGGGTTGAAACAGGATACAGAAATGCATTGAATTTAGAAAAGTGAATTAAAATGAAATTTTGTTATTGACCAAATACTTATTTTCCACCATAATTTGCAAATAAATTCTTTAAAAATCCTACAATGTGATTTTCTGGATTTTTTTTTCTCATTTTGTCTCTCATAGTTGAGGTATACCTATGATGAAAATTACAGGCCTCTCTCATCTTTTTAAGTGGGAGAACTTGCACAATTGGTGGCTGACTAAATACTTTTTTGCCCCACTGTATATACATATATATATAATAATAATAATAAGTATCGCTTTTTATTTCTCCTCTTTCCTACTACTTGTTTCACTTCTGTTTCAGTTTTTTATAACCATTTCTTACGGTGTCAGTAACTTGTTATTTTAGCATGTGTGTTTGGCTCAGTGCTATTTTTGTTTAGGATTACTGATAAACTAATGTAGTTTGATTTGTATTAGTTATCTATTTTAGTTTTAGTTACAGTTGTAGTAATGTTGTCATTTTATTCGTTTTTTATTATGTCTAAATAGTTTTTTTATTAAGTTTTAGTTTTATTTAATTTGAGTTACTTCAGTACTTCAACATACAAAATGGAAATGAAATAATATATATATAGTGAATGTATTTATATATATGTATATGTGTGTGGCTGTACATACACATATGTAGTTGTTTTTTGGTGTTTGGCTTAGTGTTATGTTTGAATCATTATTATACTCATTAGGGATGCGCCGATCCGATATTCATTTCGGGTATCGGCTCCGATAGTGCCATTTTTATATATTTTTATACATTTGTAAATACATGTCTATGATTTTGCAAAAAGGACTTTATCTTCTTGCCGGAGTTTAATGTTTTGTTACTTGCTACCGGGTGTCTGTGAGAACAAAACACGGGCGTAGAAAAGACTATAAATAGTTTTTAACGTGCACAGTAACTGAAATTTAAAACTGTTAAAAGAAAGGCTCAATAACTGTTGCACAGATATAATACACTACGCATCAATTTCTCTTCCCTTTGTGCTTTGCAGTTTTTAACACGAAGCGCTTAATGTGCGCACATTGTAAGCGCTTCGTGCTCATAGACTGTCAACCCTCTATATTGAGAGTAAATCACTCGCATATGCGACTAAATCTTCACTCTGGGCGACTAAATGATGTCTAATATTAGCCAATGGCTACTCAATTCTCAGATTTTACTCGCCAGTGTGTGAGTATATGATTAGCACAGATATATTTTCACTCACAGAACACT